CGCTGACTGAACCAAACTGATCGATCACTATAGGTATATGGGCTCTTGTGTGGATGCCTTAATAATGCCTACATTTTGACATAAATAATGGATAGTGGCTCGTAGTGAAGTTCAGGACGCATGTTTCGTTCAACTTGGGACTCATAAACAGGTTGCACCTGTCTTTCAGTGAGTTTTATTCCCACTAAGACATTTACTCCGAATCGATCGCTTAAAAAGCTGAAGTGTTAGTCACTAGGCTAGCTGATAAGTCCTAAATAGCACAAAACCCATGTCCTGGATTCAAATGCTAGCAACAATCCATCAACAATATCAAGATTGAAAACAGTGGCAATATTAAGACATTCACACGGGACCCCATATGCCTATAGTGGACTATCAATTCAGTTCAATCAACAAAGGAGACCTACAAGCGATGATACTAAAACCATGCTAGATCTATCTCACAAAAGGAGTGGCTATCGTGCACCAGTGGATAACACTATGGTGTTTGAAGCGACTAGTTTTAGGTTCGAGTCAGGGTTGGGACACCATCTAACGGGCCCCAAGAAGGATGAAACGCGCGTGCTGTATTCCACCGCTAGCCACTATCCATCATCAATTGTAAGATAACTTGTACTTGTATGCAGTTCGGTGTATGAATGACAACAAGGTCACTGTGACAACTGAATATATTGAGCTAAATATCATATCGGATAGTGAACATGTACTGTTGAAGAGTTCCCAGGCAGGACGAAACAGTTAAACAGTTCTTCTTAGTTTTGATTGCTACTCTAGCTGATGTTGATTCATAGTAAGAATTGCTTTGAAAGTGACCAATATCCCGTAAACATCTATATTTTTTTTAATTTTGCTAGACGACTAACTATTTCATTTGGGGGGGGGGTATGGTGGATAGAAATTCACTTTCAAATCCACTGATGTTCACGTTTTTTTGGCACTGAAAGTTATTTTTTTTTTCATATGCAGTAGTGTAATGTGTTTGCTGTTCACATAAAATTAGACAAATATGAACCAATTGTGAATAATACAGAATCGGATAAAGAATATTTGAACAGATGTTATTACCTTTGTACTATCTCGTAATGTGTTTTCCCCTGTACTAAAACTAGGTACAGAGGGATATGGATCCGCTATTACCATCATTTTATTATGTCGTTGTGTAGTGCAAATTTATTATCAGTTTAACCTTTCTTATCTTATTTACTTTCTCTTCAATCTTTTATTTTGCATAACATGACTAAATAAAGAACTATTTCAACATTTGTCCAATTACTCAGTCGTAATTCTAGATAAAAGCATAATGTTTGATAACGACTGTAATTTGCTTAGTAGTATTTAGTAATGGAATCCAGGATATGTGTTTCGTCCTATTTTGGACTCGTCAACTGGATGTACCTCCAGCCCACTGAGTGATATCATCTTGACTGAGGATTGAACCCAGTACGCATCAATTCAAACGCCAAAGTGTTATCCATTATTCTACTGAAGCACGAGAGCCGTCTCTTCAGCAACGGGTTTCACTTAACACTCCTGATTGATATTTGTGATTTCATGCTGTTATTCTGGATCAAAATGATCGACCTCTGTTTGCTTCAAGTCCCAGTGGGAACTGCTTAACTCAGTGGGATACATCCAAGTGATGAGCCCCAAATAGAATGAAACGTACGTCCTGGATTCCATTGCTAACCATAACCAAGTCAATTATAACGATAAATATTCAGTCGATATCGAAGCATCAGCATAGGAACTCATCTGCCATAAGAGGTCGAGCAGTTTGACACAATATACCAAGTATCAGACAAAAAATTCAATTATTTCCTATTCTATCCATGTATAATTCGATTGACATTGCATATCGAGGAAAGGAGTGGAACAGTGCTATACCGAATGAGCTCTTAATTTCACTTCAGTCACCCTATGGTTTTGTGAATTCGTTGTGATGTGTTTCTTACCATTCATCGTATTCAAACTGGTTACCTAGTCAGGACTTCTTACACAATAATTATTTTAAGTTGTTATTCATCGTAGACTGACATCAGTTGCAGGAACAAAGGAAACCTGCGAGCACTGGACAGCTATTTCGTTCTAGTATGGGACTCCTCAGAAGTGCGCAACCACGACCCCACCAGCAGGAATCGAACCCGCGAACTTCAGGTTCCGTGGCCAGCACGTCACCATTGAGCCACTGGGTCACAATCCAATGCTCCATATTTCCAACTTCTGTTAGCTCACGATATATAGCGCAGCCGCCACCCAATGTCATCGCTGAATATTTGTCCTCATGGCCATCAGGCTTTGACTCCACCGGTCACGACTTGTCATTGGAACTTCCGGAATACTTCTCGAAGCTAGTCACCAATGAGCACCAGTTCAATTAAATTTTGAGGGAGTTGTGGAGATTTGGAATTATTTCAACTTGTTATTCATCGTAGACTGACATCAGTTGGAGGAACAAACGAAACCTGGGAGCACTGGACAGCTGTTTCGTCCTAGTATGGGACTCCTCAGCAGTGCGCACCCACGACCCACCTCCAACTGATGTCAGTCTACGATGAATAACAACTTGAAATAATTCCAAATCTCCACAACCCCCTCACAATAATTATTGTTTTGAGCTAGGGGAAAAGGTACTATTTAGTGTCTTCCAAGTTGACGCCTGAAAAACTTAGGTAATCTCGTGCAAAGTCCATTTCGGTGTTCGATATGCTTATATTCCTTACCTACATAAAAATCGATATTACTTTCGACGCCTTCTCTAGTTTGTTGTATACTAGTAATTATGAAATTCTTATGATTCATATGTCTTTTCTTCTGCGTTAGTATACCGACATGAACTGACGTGCAGTTGTCAGGTTCTGTACTGTTTGCATCTATCTTGTTTAACCTTGAAATGCAAGAGGATAGAGTAAACTTCAACTTCAACAACAAGCTCCAATCACCATCAACGGGAAAAACTTAAAGGAAGTAGTCTCTTTCACCTATCTAGGCAGCACCGTTTCAACCACAGGCGGCACACGAACAGATATCGACGCAAAAGCTACGATCGGAAACACACCAAGACAGGCTTTCATTAACCTGAAACCAGTGTGCACATCTACTGCACTCCACTCAGCAGAAAGCCTCAACAACATCCAGATTTTCAACACCAATCCAGTCAAGTCAGTGCTTCCATGTGATGGTTCAGAGACTTGGCACGCTACAAAAGACATTCCCAACAAAACCACACACATTCATCAACAACTACCTACGCTGGCTCGTTACTCAAGCTCAGATCAGATGGCCAGAATAATAAGAATAAGCAACAAGGAACTCTGACCACACAACGAACCAACCAACACAACATACCACTCAACAAATACTCAGAAGGAAGTGGAGATGGATTGGATTGGGCATACAGTGAGAAGGCCGACTGGGGACATCACGCATCAGGCCAGTCCCTCGAGTGGAACACCGATGGGAAGCGATGAGTTGGGTGTCCGAGGGTGACATGGAGGAGATGGTGCGAGGAGGAAATGAGAGCTTGTGGGCAGTCGTGGAGCCAGGTTGGAGAGAGTGGAGAGAACAAAGTGCACACTGCAGACGTGCTACTGAAGCTCTATGTTCCATTAGGAACCCAAGGGACAAATAATAAGAATGTTTAAAAGTTTCACACAGAAAACAACCAAGAGTAAAATCATCATTCATTGATCAACCAGTAACTTTCGAAGATGCAATTTGAAATCATTAAATATCCTAAAATTGTCCTACAGTTGAATATGTCAATTTCAATTCGAACTTGGTTTTTAACATATTGTGTAATGATCGACAATGAAATACAAACTTCGAGGCGCTACTTTGAATCCTACCCCAAACAAAAGGTTCTCATTTCAACTTTGAGTATCATTCCAGGTATAAATAAAACTAATCTGACAAATCAAGGATATCTTAGATAGTCTTCTCATTAATAATCCGTTTATTTTAGTTTAACTAAGGAAACATTTACTTACAACTCCCATCTTACAACACTCTTTTATGTTACAAGAGTTTATCGACTCCTTATTCAATTATGCAATCTTCTGCTGTAGAGTTTTGCTTCTAATCACATGTTTAAAGTATGTTATGCAATTTTTACCTTGTCAATATCCTATTTCAGTTTTGAGTTGTTTATGGAGGCATGATTCATTAGTTTAAATAGTCGACTTTTAATCAGTGGACTATGAGTTCGAATCCCGAATCAGATAACAAAGTTTGAGCAGAACCACTAAATGTTTGATAGTAAACTTTGAAAATAACAGCCAGTCTATTAGCCTTGGAATTAAGATGCTTAGTAAGCATGAAGGAACAATTTACATTTCAAGAGAAGTATTGATGCTAGACAATGAATAGTAACGTTGTTGCTTGTACTATCCTCTCGTCGATCGGACTGAATTCATTGGTCTCTACTAGCATGTGGGCTCCGAAGCTGATGCCTCAATATTGCCCGCGTTTCAACTATGTATTAGTGATGGACAGTGGCTATCAGTGGAATTCAGGACTCACGTTTCGTCCTATTCGAGACTCGTCAGCTGGACGTATCCGTCTCTCAGTAAGCGATGTTGTTCCCACTAAGACTGGTCGCTTCAAACGCCGGAACGTTATCCACTAGGCTACAGAGCCATGATATCCACTTCTTGTGTGGTGGGCATAGTTTTTATGTTTTTGCTTGCAGTTGGCATTTGAAGCGATCGATCGTGGGTTCGAGTCTCGGTGCGAACAACATTCAATGGGGTGCAGGTAAATCCGGCTGATGAGTCGCGAACAAAACGAAATATGTGTCTGGGATTCCACTGTTAGCTACTATCCATCATTGGTGTACAATGAACAATAGTATTCATTTCTCCAGTTTTCATTCTGCTTTTACTCTCTCTCTCTCTCACACACACATACACAAACAAAATTTCTTTTCTGAACCAAACATTCAGAAGTAGGTTTATATCCAATAAAGAAATATACATTGTAATGACCATTAGAAAACTCACATCTTTGTGGGGTAGAAATGATGGTCGATGATTTTGTTGTAAAAGCTAAAAAGGAGTGATAAAACAAGCAAACTGATTCACTTGATAAAACTATGGCTTTCAAAAATTTTTTATTAAATCTTTAAATAGCAATACAATTTGCTAATTAATCAGTGATTCGTAATCGGCATCAAGGATGGAAGGAAAAAACATCCATTGATAGAACGAAAATTATTCAGATTCGATTACCTTACATATCTCAAGGGGCTGAACTCAGATCACACAACATAATAATGGCTCGATAGAGAGAGAAAGGCGGAGAGAGAGGGAATTGAAATGACAGTCTGTCGGCTCACAAGTGACATCCTAGCAACTGATGAAACAACCAATTACATTTCGCTATTCTACGAAAAATTGTTTTTCCAGTCGAAATATCGCAACCCAGTTGGTGGCCTTCAAAGTCGCTGCAGCTTATGCATGAAGTTTTATATGGAGGAGAATAGAGGTTGGTTATGCTTTTCTGAGCGAATCAGTTAAATGTAATGCCGATCGCTATTTTTCTTCATTATGAATAACTATGTAGACAGGTTGAAGAATATATGGATATATGTCTCTTCGTCTATGTGAAAGGCCTTTTGACTTTTACCGGTGTTTAGTAGGAATCGTTATTTTGAAGCTTAACGCCTCCATTTAATTAGGGCGACCTTAAAGACCATCCTGGGAACTGCTCTAATAACTAAATCAGGTTTCGGTATTCCGGTTAGTAAGGTATTTTCTCATACAATGGAGAAGTCCAATTGGTTATCTCAACAATAGATAGGGTGACCTTTAAAGTCACTCAACAAGCTGCATAGTAATACATATAAATTAGATGAACAATTTACAGATGAAGTAACAAGAAATTATTGAAAAGACGGTAAATGGGTGTATGCAAACCTTCCGGTCTTGTATGCCCACCTTAACACATAACATCTTATACTTAAGCAAGCCCTCACCTTCAAGCCAATCTAATTACCCTTCCTGGACAAAAATTCCCTATTACTAAATGTCTACCAGTAAGTAGTTATTTTGCCCATAGCCTAAGTTCTTGTATTTCATCACACCTGTTAAGCCTCCTACAAAAAGGAAATCTGGAGATCTGGAAATCCGGAGATCAACACAAGATGCTTTCCAATTATCCCTAGTGAATTCAGTAAAGTCAGGAAACCGTACACCCAGATTTAAGCCGATTTAAACTAATCGTATGCTAACCGATTTCGACCATCAATCTATCCTCCATATTCTATTCTCATATCTATGTATGCGAAAAATAAAGGACAATAACAAACATGTTGCACACACACACACACACACACACACACACACACACAGCTTAAATCAACCTGAATCGGATCATCCAGACAACAGGAATCAGTGATTGAGAACTCTTGGTGACATAGTTGAAAATAAGTCACAGTGGTGCAGATGTATTCACTCCTTGACATCTTCTAAAACCTGAATAATCTCACTAACTTTTATCTTCAAACTACTTATTCTTTCACATAACTTCACCTACTTTGATATCACCTTAATTCTATCCATCTATTCTTTGTATATTACTGTGATGTGTTGCAACTTAAACCCATGAACTTGTATGCGAGGTTCTACATTGATTCTCTCTCTGTATGTCTCACTGACTTCGCCGTCACCCTCAAACTATCTTTCCAGTAGGATCGATTCTCTTACTTGAGTGCGAGAATCGCTCACTCAATAGCATAACTAATTCTAAAGCTTTAGACTTTGTAGTGGGATTGACAACTCTTGTTAAAACTCATCCCTTAGATCTTTGGATCAGGTTCTGTAAGTAACAGGATTTGAATTCGGTTGCAGTGATATGAATGCATCTTAGTAATACGTTTCCAACACCCAAACATCATATTTTTAATGATTCCCCCTATTCTTCATCTTTTTCTTCCAACAACTATCTAAATTATTCCTTTCTTCTGGTTGATTTTCCTTTTGTGTTGCTGTGAAGTGTAAGGATATGGACAGATTCACAATTATGGTATATCCAATGTTGCTGGCGCTTATTACTACTGAATCCATTCAGTTTCACTTCACTTCATACTAATCATCATGAATACTTCACGGTTAATCAGTAACTCGAAATGTAAAATATCATTCCACTCGAAATGGCTTACGTCTTGATTGCTCTTATCACTAGCAGATATTGTTGATGAACCACTGCGCATGTTATTGAAAGTTCATTATCCAGTTTGACGAAATGAAGAAAGTTTTGTACACAACACAATTTCAAACTTGTGACTTACTGACTTAGGCTACCGACTACCATTCTAATGAGGAGCAGGTTACATTTCTGCTTGTCTGTAAATTATTTTGTACTACAAATACACTCTTTATATAGTTAATTGGCTTTATGTCCGTCCCTTATCGATATTCCTACTTAGAACTCACTTCAGTAAAATACTTATTCATCTACTTTTTATGCGAACCTTCAGTCTTGGATGCCCACCTTAACACTTAAGGAAGCCCTCACCTTCAAGCCAATCTAATTACCCTTCCTGGACAAAATTCCCTATTACTAAATGTCTACCAGTAAGTAGTTATTTTGCCCATAGCCTAAGTTGTTGTATTTCATTACGCCTATTAAGTCTCCTACAAAAAGGAAATCTGGAGATCAACACAAGATGCTTTCCAATTATCCCTAGTGAATTCAGTAAAGTCAGGAAACCGTACACCCAGATTTAAGCCGATTTAAACTAATCGTATGCTAACCGATTTCGACCACCAATCTATCCTCCACATTCTATTCTCATATCTATGTATGCAAAAAATAGAGGACAATAACAAACATGTTGCACACACACACACACAGCTTAAATCAACATGGTCTATATAACTTCACTCAATAATAATCTACACTCAACATTTTTACTATAATTACACAAATCAACGCTAGTAAACCATTTTCAATAGATGTATCGATCTCAGTAAATACCATTGTTACTATCATCATGATTGAATGAAAACAGATCATGAAATTATAGTAGTTAGTGCAAAGGGTGGGAGGTGGAAGAAGTCACTGTTTTTAATACGCCTCAACTAAAAGTCGACAAACCGTAAACATCTGTGCATATAATATCACCACCTGATAAAACATCATCATCTACTGAAGTCAATGAAATCAGTGGATATATTTAACTAGTAGATGATTACAATAACAGGTATATAAAATGACACATAATCTCATAAACATGTCGAAAATGAAAGTCATACATCATTTCGAAAACAGACCAGTGATACTGCATCACAAATTCTTTCACACTTTCGATATTTACCTATATACATAGTTGACCTGTATATGAAGTCAATAATTTTAACTAGAAAATACCCTACCCTGGCAACTGAGATCTATTTCATTGTTGGGTAGGCGAATACATTCAGATGGAAAGAAACTTTTGGACTCAAGCAGCATAGAAATACTGAGGATGAGAAACTGTTTCATAGCTACACTGATCTTTTCTTCTCATCATTTTTACAAATTTTGAAACCAATAAACATGTTTACATTGACATTTTACCATCATATCCATAGAAAGTGAAAAAATAAATACATAATACCTATCCGTTACTAAGTACACAATAGAGATTGTTGGTATTCTAAGCAGAGGTGGAACAATTCGATCCAGTATCTAAACAAATAGTTATAACTAATACGCATTATACCTCGCCAAGTTAACTAGTTCACTAGTTACCAGCCGGTCCTAAGCCCAGATAAACAAGGAAAGTTAGACATAGGCCCAGCAACCCTACCCCATAAAACCAATCCAATTGCTAAAGAAACTTCAAACCACAAACAAAATATAAAAAATAAAAACAAACTTATTCCTCGCTGCAATCCAACACACCAAATGATGCCAGTTGGTAAGAATATTCGTGAAGCCAATTGGCCGGTGTGGCTTCTCTCTCTCTCTCTCGACGAAATCAAAAGTAAGAATGGGGACATGGAATGTCCGCACCATGTATGAACCTATCAAGGCTCCCCAGATTGCAAAACACATGAGAAGACATGACATACAACTGTTAGCAATCTCAGAAAGTAGATCGAATGGAAGTCGACTCTACAAATTGTCAACTGGAGAGCAGTCAATAATCTACTCCAATACCCTCACCCAAACGACAACCACAACACACACTGAGTTTTAAAGTGGCTATCATGATGTTCCCAAGAGCATCAAATGCTCTCACACAGTAGGAATCAATCTCCTCCTACAACATCAGGTTCATCACAGCAACATTCAACTCAAAAGGAGGGAAACTCACAATCATACAATGCTAAGCTACACTAACCACCTACAAATAATGCACATCAACAGACGAAGGAGGAATTCTACACACAACTGCAATCAGTAATGGACAAGACACCACTCCAGTTGGCAACATCAAAATTCATTCTAATGTGTGGAGTGACATGAATGCCAAACTGGGAGCAGACAACACACGAAGAGGACTCATCTTGAGTCGAGAACCACTCGGTGAAATGAACGAGAATCGAGAACTGTTTGCAGATTTCTGCACATTCAGCGATTTTGTGATTGGAGACTGTGTACAAACAAAAGGATATTCACAAGTCAGCGACATGGATTTCACCATTCACCAGATGGACACACTACACTCAAGATCAGATCGACTTCATCTCAATGTGAAGAAAGTGGAGACGCAGCCTACTTGACACAAGGTCAAGAAGAGGAGCGGATGTAGGTTCACACCACTATCTACTGCAAGGAACCTTCCAAATCAAGTTAAAAGCCTTCAAGAAAGTTGGTGATAGACCACAGTTCAAGTACAACACTCAGAAACGGAAGGAAGAAACTACAAAGGACGTCTTCACGTCAGCCGTCAAGACAAAATGGGAGATATCGAGCAACATCCCTGAAGAAACCTGTATGGAAGAACACTGGAAGTCTTTAAAAGAGATGTAGAAAGAAACCTGCACAGCCGTATTAGGAAGGAAGAAGAAAGAAGATAAGGAATGGACCTCGATGGATACATGGAAGCTGATAGAGG